TCGGCCAGACAGTGCCGGCTGGCGACCCCAAGGGGGAGGGCCTTCTCTGTGGGAGCTCCCACCCTCTGGAATGAGCTGCCCCCAGAGATCAGGGTGATCCCTGATCTCCCTTCCTTCCGCCGCGCCCTTAAGACATGGCTATTCCAACAAGCGGGACTGGCCTAGGGCAATTTTAGAGGGGTTTTAATTATATTTTAATTAGACAATATTTAAATATTTCTTTTTAATTAATTTTAATTTTGTAATTGTTATTGGTGTTTTTTAATCGATTGTCAGCCGCCCTGAGTCCGCAAGGAGAAGGGCGGGATATAAATTCGAATAATAAATAAATAAATAAATCATTATGCAATTTCCACTGTTTTAGTTCATGATTCCATTCATGAACTGCAGTATGGGATTCAGGAATGGAATCTTCTACAGAACAATTGGTCTTCCTGACCAATTTGGCAGTTCCAAGATGCAGAGGAGCTACAGAATATTCTGGAATTTTCCAGAATGCTCCATTCCCCAAATCCCAAAATCTTGCACATGTCTAGTGGTAAGTACTGCGGTTTTAAAACCCCACATTTAACAGTAGAGAGAATAGGTAGCAAAAAATGAAATGACTAATCATTTGAAGTAGCACAACAATATAAAATTATATATAATTAGGCAAATGAACATACATTTTTAGAAAACTGAACAAAACTATATGTATTCCATTTCATACCAAAGATCTATACATTTTTAATTTTTTCAATAGTATTTATTCCCAGGAAAATTATGATGCAAATTTATATGTGATATAATTAGTTTTAAATAATCCTGGATAAAATATTTCCATTTTATGGTATATAGGTTATGCAATAAAATAGTCGATCTGTATTAATAATTAGCATACAAGCTCCATAGTCTTTTACCTTGGCAATTATTTCTGAAATATTCTTCAGAGACTGTTTGATTGGATACTTGGCCATATCCCACTGGAATCTTGTTATGTAGGTGATCAAATCAACTGGGGGAAAATGATTAAATATTGAGCTAAATAAGCAAACCCATAATCCTACAAAAAAATCTGGGAATCTTAAATACATTTAAGAAATAATTATTTAAAATAAAGATGGAACAGAATGCAATGCAACCACCTTAAAGAGCATAGGCCATTTTTGATACACACAAGTACTTTTGCATACAATTGGAGTATATTAGAAATAACGAGGAAAAATTCTTATGTCTGTGTAGAAAGAATGGGAGAATTTGCCTCATCTATAGTTTTTATAGTTTTAGCTTTGTTTAATTGAAGACAAAAGTCCTCTTTGACTTTTGATTATCATATTGGCAATTGTAACTTTTAGAGATTAATTTGGTGAAATCTGAAGATCTATTTTGAATTGTATCATGGAGAATACATACCTAGCCAAACGTATTGTGTTCAGGGATGCTTTCTCTATGCTTACAAGAGATGTGAGGACAAACTGAATCAGCATTATATGCTTTAAATTATTTCCATA